CTATACAAGAAAATTATATACTATTATCTTCTAGCAGGCTTCTTCTTTACATACCAATGCGCATTTAGAAACATATGATTATGATAAATTATAAAAATTTCAATTCATCCGAAATATATTCAATATTACCATCCTCATTTTAAAATTTCCAAAAATCATTTCAAGCAAGAAGACAACAAGTGGGACTTTTCAAAGAAGTGGAATACAGAGAACAAGTGGGGAGTGGGGGCTACAGAAGATCTCCTTTTTTATGAGTGGGGGTACTAATTATAGCCATCTTCAAGGACAAGGGGTGCCTTCACTGTCAAAAAGACATTTAATAATCTCTTTTCACAGGGAAGCCAATGAATGTTTATTCCCATCTATTGTGAGAGATCTTGTTTGACACAAACGTCGGTGGTTGTTGAGAGCAGATCAGATCGACTTTCTTCTCTTCGTTCAAGCCTAAAAGTGTGAGGTAAGTTCAGTATATGCTTGTTCTTTTTCTCTTTTCTGCACTGATAGGGTTGAGAATTAAATATGAGAATCTCTTTGAATAAAGATATGAATCTTAATTCACCAAAAAACTAACATCTTTTGTTAAATCCAACTTTTATTGGTTCTGCAAGTTCTTTCTCTTCTCTTGGCTCCAATTTCTTTCTCTCCTTGTTCTGTGAATAATTGAAAAATAATAAAAATCCGGCATTATACAACCAAAAAAAAAAAAAACAATGGTCAATAAGTATCAAATATGTTTGGTGCCAGCAAAGTCAATATACCAGAAACATTTCTTTTTATGGTGATGAGAACCTAAGTAAAATAGATAAAGCCAGTAATTATGCTCCTGTAACTTTTGTGCGGATTAAGGACGTTAAACTCTTAAAAATATTGATAACCCTCTAATAATGCCTAATTTGTTTTGTTTTGTAAGATGTTATTTTATGAATTTCCATGTCCAACTAACGCGCCCGGTGGTAACCAAATAAAATAGAGAGAATCACAATAAAGTCCTAAAATAGAGAATTTATAACAGTTAGGTTCCCCACAAAAATTTAAAAAAAAATAAGTTACAAATATTTATTTAAACAGTTGAAAACAGAAATTTGAATTGAAAATTGAGAATTATATTTATAATTTAAATGTTTTATTCTTCATTAGAATTCTTGAATTCGTAATTTTTGAATCAGTATTTATAACTGTTTTTATAGAAAATTTTATAAGGGACTTAACTATAATAAATTCTTTATTTTGAGGCTTTAATGTCATTCTCCCAAAAAAAACCCTCCCATTTCTATATTGGCTTTATAAAAATAGGATTAGTTTGCAAATATGTTTGTAGTAAACAAAGTCAGTATTTAAGTGAAAGATAAGTAAATAAATGTGCTGATTGACTTATTCATCATATACTAAACAACAATTTAGACACTAGGATTTTTTTAATCCATCCTTAAGATGTAGAAGCACTATTTTCTCTGATATGAACTAATTAATTTACTACATGATTTTTCTATGGCCTTATATTAAAAAAATATTAACGTGAGAGGTAAAACATTTTTTTCCTGGAGACAACCCAGCTAATTTGACAACTTGCAGCAAAAATGTCAATACATTTTTAACTTCCATGTGGCTTCCTCAATTTGCGTCAAATATTTAAGCACAAAGTTGGACGAACTAAACTCCAATATTCATTCAGCATTCCATTTTTCATTCCATTTTTTATCCTATTTGATCAATAAAGAAAGTAACTCCGCCTATGTTTATAGCCGGTCCCAAGCCCGGGTAAAGGAGGAGGGTTGTGTTAGGCCATCAACAGCCAATGTAAAACTTTATTGAATCTATCATGAACATGGACAATAGACGTTATAATGTTAATGCTAGGTCGTTGCCTGTAAGTAACGCGCTGCATGGCTCGAGTACAGTGATAAGTGAGTTAGAGCCGTTGCATCGGCGCCCGAATGTAGTGTTAAATGAGCAAGGGCTACCGCGTCATTCTGGACGCACGCGGCTAAAGAAGTTAGTCCATGAGAGCAAAATTAGATTTGATACTTGGAATGTTGGGACATTGAATTGTAAATCTGTAGAGGTTGTTGGGGTTATGATTCAAAGGAAAATCAATATCCTTTGCCTGCAAGAAACAAAATGGCGTGGAGAAGAAGCTAAGGATATTCAAGGTTTCAAACTTTGGTATACAGGAAAAGTAAGTGCACGCAATGGAGTAGGCATCATTATAGATAAGGAGTGGAAGAAGAACGTTGTAGAAGTTAGCAGAATTGGAGATAGAATTATTTCCTTAAAAATGATAATTGGACGTGAGACTGTTAATATTATTAGCGCTTATGCGCCGCAAGTCGGGATAGAAGCTAGTCTTAAGGAATTATTTTGGGAGGATCTGGAGGGGTTGATTCGACACATACCACAGAGTGAAAAGATTTTTATTGGAGGAGACTTTAATGGGCATGTCGGGAGGGAAGCTGGTCAGTATGCGAGGGTGCATGGTGGTTTTGGTTTTGGAGAGCTAAACAATGAAGAACAAACTCTTCTTGATTTCTCATTGGCGTATGATTTTAAGATTGCCAACACTTGTTTCAAAAAGAGAGATGAGCATCTCATCACTTATAAAAGTGGAGCCTCAAGGTCACAGATTGATTTTCTTTTGGTTAGGAACGCAGATAGAAGACTTTGTAAAAATTGCAAGGTGATCCCCGGGGATGCTGTAACGACACAACATAGGGTCCTAGTCCTTGATGTGTGTATTATGAGTAAAATCCAAAAACGTCGACAAGTAGTAGCACCAAGGATTAGGTGGTGGCAATTAAAAGGTGAGAAGCAAGATATTTTCAAGCGAAATCTTTTGGATAAAGGAATTTGGGAATCTCAGGGAAGTGCTAACATCATGTGGGAGGATATGGTTAAAAAGATACGGGAGGTTATAAAAGTAGTTTTGGGAGACTCAAAAGGTTCTGGTCCGAGAGATAAGGAGTCTTGGTAGTGGAATAATAGTGTACAGGACAAAATCAAGTATAAGAAGAACTGTTTTAAAGCCATACATTTGTGTAACAATGAGAAAAATTGGGAGAGGTACCGTATGGCTAAGAAGGAAACTAAAAGAGTTGTGGGTGAAGCTCGTTCTAAAGCTTTTGAAGAATTTTATAAGAGCCTTGAGACGAAAGAAGGAGAGCAAAATATTTATAAGATTGCCAAGAGTAGGGAAAGAAAATCAAGAGATCTAGAACAGGTAATGTGTATTAAGGATAAAGAAGGAAGAACTTTAGTTACAGATGATGAAATTAAAAATAGATGGGAGACTTACTTTTCTAAACTTTTCAATGATGGAGAGGGTTCATCTAGTAACTTGGACGATTTAGTAACTGGTGAACGAGAACAAAATTTGTCATTCTATCGAATAATACGTGATAAGGAGGTAAAGGAAGCTCTTAAGAAAATGGCAAATGGTAGAGCCAACGGACTTGATTGTATATCTATCAAAACGTGGAAATGTTTAGGTGCAGAAGGGGTGAGGTGGTTAACTAACTTATTTAATGTAATTTTACGGTCCAAGAAAATGCCTGATGAGTGGAGGAGAAGTACATTAATTCCTATTTATAAAAATAAAGGAGATATTCAGAATTGTACTAACTATAGAGGGATTAAGCTCATGAGCCACACAATGAAATTGTGGGAGAAAGTAATTGAGCACAGGTTGAGATTGGAGACAAGTATTTCTGAAAATCAGTTTGGTTTTATGCCAGGTAGATTAACTACAGAGGCGATTTATCTACTAAGGGGATTAATGAAAAAGTATTGTTGTAAAGATAAAGATCTACACATGGTTTTTATTGATTTGGAAAAAGCTTATGACCGTATACTAAGAGAAGTGCTTTGAAAAGTGTTAGAAAAAAAGGAAGTACGGATTGTTTATATTAAAGCCATACAAGATATGTATGAGGGGGTAAAAACTAGCATAAGAACGCCTAGTGGTCAAACAAAGGATTTTCCTATAAAGATTGAACTACATCAGGGATCATCTCTGAGTCCTTATCTGTTCAACTTGATCTTAAATGTTTTGACGGAACATATTCAAGGGGAAATTCTGAAATGTATGCTCTTCGCGGATGATATAGTTCTTATAGCAGATACAAGAGAAGAGGTTAATTGCAAACTTGAGTTATGGAGGAGGACATTGGAGTTGAAAGATTTTCGTCTGAGTAGAAGTAAGACGGAATATTTATATTGTAAATTTGGTAAAGGACTATTCGACAATAATTTAAAAGTGAAATTGGGAGATCAAATTATACCTCAAGTGGAAAAGTTTAGATATTTGGGAGCCATTATTCAAAATAATGGCGAAATCAGTGAAGATATTTCACATAGAATTCAAGCTGGGTGGTTTAATTGGAGAAAAGCTAAAGGAGTTATTTGTGATCGTAAGGTGCCTAATAAACTTAAAGGAAAGTTTTATCGCACTGTTATCAGACCGGCAATGTTATATAGTAGTGAATGCTGGGCTCTAACGGGACAACAAGAGTATAAAGTTGGAGTAGCAGAGATGAGAATGTTACGATGGATGTGCGGACATACACGTAAAGATAAAATTTGAAATGAGCACGTACATGAAAAAGTGAGGGTGGCACCTATTGAAAAAAAAATGGTAGAAAATCGGTTGAGATGGTTTGGGCATGTACAAAGAAGACCAAGGGAGGCACCAGTGAGAAGAGTGGAACATATAACTTTGAATCCGATTAAGAGAGGTAGAGGAAGGCCTAAGAGAACACTTTTGGAAGTTATTGAACGCGATCCGTTAATTAATAATATTCCTAAAAGCTTGATAAATGATAGAGCACAATGGCATCTTGCAATCCATGTAGCCGACCCTACCTAGTGGGATAAAGGCTTGTTGTTATTGTTGTTGTTGATCAATAAAGAAAGTAGAGAGTACTTCAATAAATGAAGTATAACGAATAGAGTACTTCATCACGTTCTCCTAACAAATAAATCATACACTAAAATATTTCAAAATACTTATTTTTGGCTATTAAATCATGCTGAAGACAACAATTTACAGTAACAACAATAGCAACCAGGAAGAGCACCGACTTCTCATCTTCAAACCCATCTCTACAGATTTATCCTCCGATCACTTGGAACATCAAAAGCTAAGTATGCATCGTTCTCTTGTTTAATCATTATAAGGCTTTTATAAAAAATTAGCCTGTTATGGTCTTTGTGTTTTGGTTTTGAAAAAACAATTAATATATATATATATATATATCTCCCAAGCTTTATGATCAATCGCTTCTTTGTTTAGCTAATGTAACAGCTGCTTTCCTTCTGAATCAAAATTGATATATAGATGGAAGACAAGGAGATCATGATAGAAATAAGAGCAATGGCAGAGACAAGCGAAGATGGTCTCTTGTCGCCTTTCTGTTGTATCTACAGGGTGCCCCCAATGATTCGTCTTCTAAAAGAGGAAGCTTACACTCCAAAGGTTGTGTCCGTTGGTCCTTTCCATTATGGTGATGTGAGGCTGCAAGACATGGAAAGGCACAAACGAATAATGTTCAAAAGATTTGCAGGGAGTGCCAAGACAGACTTGGATACTTTGGTCAACTTTGTAAAGCAGTCAGAGCCCAAGGTTCGTGCTTCTTATTCAGAGAGCATCAAACATAGCAAGAAGGATCTTGTGAAATTGATATTAGTAGACGCTGCTTTTATCATTGAACTCTTTAGGATGTTCTATAGAGGTGGTTACGAGGTAAACAAAGATGCTAAGCTATCACACTCTTGGTTGAGGGATGCTATAGTTGATGATCTGCTTTTGCTTGAGAATCAACTTCCATTCTTTGTTATTGAAGAGTTATTCGATGTAGCATTTCCTCTTGATCTTAGAGGTGATATCCCTTCATTTCTTGAGCTTACATATTCCTACTTTATCTATTATAACATTCAAAGCTTAGATCCTAGTCCTGATATTAGCATAAAGCACTTCACAGATCTTCTTAGATTCTTTTACTTACCAAGAGGAACAATACCAAGGAGGAAATCATTCAAAGGGGATGGGTCTGATATTCTTCTATACAGCGCAAATGAGTTACAAGAGGCAGGAGTAAAGTTGAAGGCAAGCACAAGCAAATGCTTACTAGATTTGAAATTTTCAGGGTCCGTTTTTGAGATCCCACAGATTTATATTGAAGATATCACTGAAACTTTGTTTCGTAATATGATAGCTTTAGAACGGTGCCATTATCCTTATGAATCTTATATCATTGACTACGCCTTTGTATTGGATGGCCTGATCAACAATGATAAAGATGTGGATGCTCTCATTCGTGAAAAGATTATCCACAATTGGTTAGGTGACACCAATGAGGTTGCTACATTATTTAATGGTCTTGGGAGAAATATAAATCAATGGAATTTCAGTGTTGAATACCTTGACATTTGCATAAGGTTGAATAGCTTTTATCAAGATCCTTGGCACAAGAAGAAAGCAACTTTGAAACGTGACTACTTCAAGACACCTTGGCAAACAGTAGCTTCTATTGCTGGAATCATACTTCTCATTCTTACCTTTATTCAAACCATATTTTCTATCCTCCAAGTTGTACTATAGCTATATATAGATTTGAAGCTTTGTACATTTTAGTGTTGTGTGTCCTTTACATTTATGTTTCCTTGCTAAGTTTATTCAACCTTTCTACAGCACCATTTTTAACCATATAATAATAATAATAATTGTAATCCTTATTCTTCCCTTTCCCTATGTGGCAGCTGCATATACAACAGCATAAGTTTGAATCTTTTTTTTTAATATTATTTCTTATAAATCCTTTGAAGTTTTTTTTTTTTGGGTAAAGATATGTAATTTTTTATATCAATGATAAGTTGTTATAAAATAAACTCTCATATCATATAATATATATGTGTGTGTGTGTGTGTGTATATGTATAGTGGGAAAGCTTATTTAGTACAAAAATGAGAATCAAAAGTGAAAATTTTATGACACAAAATAAATGGCGGAGCCAATTTTCATGAAGGATATGATTTCAGTATTAATCTGGACCCTATAGATCAAATATTAATGATCCAGATTTAATAATAATTATTTTTATGTTTTTAGTAAATTTTTTTTAGTATATGTGGAATAAAAATACAGTAAAAGATTATGATTTTTTCTAATGTTGGCCAGCTTATTTATAAGTGGAGATTAATTAGTAAACTCAACTTTTCAAAAAATGAAATTCTTATTCTAATTATTAAGAATAAGCGAATTTTACGCGAGAGTGTTCCCTAGGGAAGGTTGGGTACGCGATAGCTCTTAATCATTTAAATTAAACTAAAATATATATTTAATTCTTTAATTTTATATAAATTTTTATTTTGGTCTTTTAATTTTATAAATATATATCTTCTTCATTAACCCTCACACTATTACTCTTAAATGATTATTTTTTATATCAATCATTATTATTTTAAAAAATTAAACTTAATATGCAAACATTTAAAAATATTTTTTTCAATATTTGAAAGTTTAATGTAAAAATTTTATTAATCAAACTAACAATATTAGAATTATAGGAACAAAAAGAAACTTTATAAATTTAAAAAATTAAAATGAAATATAATATAAAGCAAAAGAACAAAAATGCACTTTAATCTTTAAATTAAATTAATTGTCACCTGTACCTATACCAATCATACAAGGAAAAAACTTATATACTTAACTTATATACTTAAGGTGTTTGTTTTTAATTAAATTAAAATATATGGATGTTTTATATATTATTTGTTTTATAACAAACTCTAGTTATTAGTATAAATTAATACATTAAAATTTACATGTCTTAATTTAATTAAATAAAAATGTATTAAATATATAAAGTGAAGTATATAATCAATTATATACTTCACTTTATATAGCCAAAACATAAAGTATATTTAATCAATTACAAAAACCATATAGCCATGTTCAATATGTTAGAACTTTTGTGAACATTCATAAAGAGTTGTTTTCTTTCTTTTTTTTTAATGCCTATTTTTATTGCTGCCAATGTTTGTATAACCGTAAACCAAAGAGCAAAGGCTTGAAAAAAGTGATAGAAAATGTCTTCATTGATTAAAAAAAAAAAACGGAAAGCGAAAGGGAGAAAAGCACCTCAACTAATCAAAATGATTATTATATGAAAGAAATTAAAATCGCTTAGCAGCTAATTAAGTCGCAGCCATAAGCGGTATAATATTTACATGCCCCCTGGGTAATTTATTTATTTATTTATTTATTTAATCAATTAATTTATGTTTTGGTCTCTTTTTAACCTGGATAAAATTTAATAACTTTATCAAACAATGAGGATACTAATTATTTGAGAATGCTTTAGAATTGCACGCAATTATCACTCCACTTTACAGGAAGTATCCCACCATGGAAAAGGAGGCACGTGAACAAGCATTGCCTAATTATTGAATCTTTTGATTAAATACATTTATCATTCTTTTAATGTCAAGTTGTCCCTTCAATAACTTGTTTGAAGGTATTTCTAAAATGTTCTTTTATATGCCCTATGAATAGGTCAAATTTAAATATTGTATAAATAAGGATATAAGTGCATTTTTATCCTTGGAGTATTCTTCAATGAGCATCCAGCTTCATAAACTATTAATTGAAGTAATTTTATTTTTAAAGTAATTAAAATAGAACATCTTTGCCTTTTTCATTAAATTTTCTAACAGTCAACGTTAAAGATCCAGTTAATATTTCTAATGATCAACATTAAGAATTTGACAAAAAGAATAAAAATACTTTATTTTAATTATTTTAAAAGTAAAATTATTCTAACAAATAGTTTAAAGTGTTGGGTACTTTTTAAAAAATGCTTTAATTAAGAGCAAGAACGTACCAATACCTTGTAAACCATATATAACAATGAAAACAAGGTCATGAAAGGGCAAGCAATAATTGACGTCATAAATTACCCCTCACATGTGTTGTCCCAGTACTTTGATCATGCAGCTAGCCTTGATTTGTTGGCCACATCCTTTCTCAATAGTTGAAAATAAGGGAGTGAAAATCAACAATTAATATTTTGATGGAGTGAAATGTTACAACATCCAATCATAATTTTTTTATTAGTAAAGTATGCCTGTAGTTTTTTAACTTTACATTAGGTTTTACTTTTTGTTTCTTAATACTATTTAATAATATCCTTTCAATTAAGTAACCCTAATACCATAAATTTCATCACAAAAAAGTTTTACATACAACTTTTAAATATTGATAAAATATTATTAAAATGTTAACATTTTAAGTTCAATTTTTTAATTAAATAATAATAATTGGTACAAAAAATAACTATTTGAAACTAATTAACAATGGTAGCTAATAGGGTTGGATGACTAAAAAGATACTTCATAAAATTAAGAGCCCAAATTAAAACCTTATATAAAGTTAGAGGACAAAAAATATACTTTAACCATATTTTTTATTAATCTTCTAATCATATTTATATTACTTCATATTTATATGTGATATCATAAAAACAATACAAAAAGAAAAAAAAGTGGACTAAATTAGCCATCAAATTAATTCAAAATATTTAATTTTTGGCTACTCTATATATATATATATATATATATAAAACCGAAGACAATAATGAATCTAATTAAAGCACATTAAATCCAACATTTTGAGCGAGCACTGACGTTACCACGATAGCGGACATGGCGGGGAAAGAATTGAGAAGTGAGAGTGCTGAACAAATTGGGGAAATCCAACCACTTGTACTCACACTTAATTCCACAGATTATCATCCCAATCATTTGGAACCATATGTATGTATATATTTCCATATTATCCTCTACTTTGGTCTTTTCTAAAACTTTCTGTTAGTCTCTTTAATTACTCTTCCTCTCAAGTTTACTAATTTTTAATCATATCTCAACTATATATATATATATATATATATCAGCCTAACTTAGTTTTAGTAATAAACTATTTGTAAGATTGCTACCAACATGTTGTATCTAAAATTAAGGTGCCCCCTCTGATCGATCCGTCATCTGAATGAAGAGACTTACACTCCACAAGTTGTTTCGATTGGCCTCTTTCAATATGTCCATGAGAGGCTACAAGATGTATGGAATCTGGCAAACAAGTTTTCTTCAAAACAGTTACGCAAAGTGCTCAGTCAAGCTTCACTATTGCAAAAATAGCTATTTATGTTGCCTTTTAACGTCAGTTATTGAAAAAACTGTTGTAAAAAAAAAAAGCTGGCATGAAAGTAATGATTTGGTTGGTTTTATGAAACATTCAGAGCCAAAAGTTTGTGCATATTTACTCTAACAACATCAAACTTAGTAAAGAAGAACTTGTGAAACTGATATTATTGGATGCTGGTTTCATCACTGAGCTCTTCATCATCATATGCCATAAGTTTCCTCATGAGATTTGTAATGATGCTAAATTATCACAATTGTGGTTGAGCAGTACTATAATGAACGAGTTGGTTTTACTTGAGAATCAACTTCCTTTATTTGTCATCAAAGAGCTATTCGGTATAGCCTTTCCCCTTGACCGTCGTGATGAGCTCCCTTCATTTTGTGAGCTTCTGTATAAGGCCTTTCCATGTTTTAGCATCCAAAACTTACAGCCTCATCCCAATGTTAGGATAAAGCGCTTTACAGATCTGAGCCTATTTTACTTAACAACAAAACTACCAAAAAGCCTATTTTACATCTCATTCACAAGAAAAAAATGTGGACCACTATAGGTGATACTAACAACGTTGCTACATCAGTTAATGGTCTCTACATAAATGTCCTTCAATTGGGTTTCAATTCTGAATATATTAATATAGGTCGAAGGTTGAATAATTTTTTATGAAGATTGGTGGCACAAGAAGAAGGTGACGTTGAGACATGATTGTTGTCGTACACCGTGGCATTTTGTCATCTCTATTGTTGGAATCGTTCTCCTTATTTTCTCCGTTGTTCAGACCATATTTTCTACATCCTCCAAGTAGTGAAGTCGAAGAGTAGATTCAAAGCATGTATCATACTAATATTTGAGTGTTCTATTGTCCAAGTTTGTTGTGAATGATGTTGTGAAAATCCCAAACTCAGCAATGAGGGAAGAATCATTATATAATGTTCTGTGCTGAAGATAAGATTGTATTATTTTAACTTTCTTCCATGATAACTTGATATTGATCTTAAGGCTCATAGTTTGAGAATTGGCATAACTAAAAGTTTTTCACAACTGATATCATTAACTTTTGATTGGTGCAATGTTACCTTAAAAATTTAAAAAAATAGTGCAATGTCAGCCTGAAATAACGTTTGACCAATATTGTTTGTTATTTTGAGTGTTAAAGGGCAATTTTACTCCAAAAGTTTGCCTATGAGTAATTGGTATTCTAAATTTTTTATTAGTGTAATATTTTTGGGTTAACATTCAAATGAAAAGAAGGATCCAACACAACTTGTTACCACTCCAAATGCTATAAAAAATAAAAAAATAAAATTAAAATGCTATAAAAAAAATTAAAATGATCACAATTTTTGATAAAAATAAAATAAAGAGTAAAAGTGAAACAAAGACACTTGGTGTGACAGGCATCTTAGATCTATGATTTGTGCTCTTTGCTTTAATTTCAAGTAGATAACAAGCAAAAAAATTCCAACGAGCATAAATGATTTGGCAAATGAGTCAATGCAATAAGTTTGAACAACAAAATAATAATTGTTTTTAAAAAGAAAATGATCGATGATAGCAGCAATTCAATTGAGAGAGAAGAAGAGATAAGAATTGTTGGATACAAAGCGGTCCCCTCCATCTTATCTATTGTAGCAATATGTGAACATTACCTCTCTAAATGAGAATGATAAGTACAATGAAACATGGAACAATGAGAAAATTGCTAGTAAGTCCCTTTTTGAAACTGAAATTGTACCAGAGAACTAAATGACCAGGGTGCAAGCAAATAACTTTAGGGTGCAAACAGATAACCATGAAATCTCAAGCCTATTTGCTTGTACTCAAGTTCTTTGGTGCTTCAACACAATTTTGACACTAAAGCAAGGACTTACTAGCAATTTTCCCAACAATGAATTTTTAATAGAAAGGTGAAATTAACATAAATCCAAGAAAAAAGGTTGACTGAAGTTATATTGATGTTAAATTCTAAATCATTGAAAATATAAGTCATGTATACATAGGGTAAAATTAAAAATTGATCCCTAAACTATAGGTTTAGGAGCATCTAAGACCCTAAGCTCATTTGTGATTCAATATTTCATTTCAACTTTTGAAAACAGTGAAATTTGCCCCCTATCATTAATAAAAGTTAACTTTAATTGTTAGTTGATCATAATTTATATTGTTCATTTTCTATAATTTTTTAAATCTTTGTTTGTAATTTTTTGATCCTTTATTTTAATTTTTTGTAATTTTTATGTTCTTTTCTATTATTTTTTATCTATTAATTGTTAACGTTGACTTTTGTTACGATAAGGACTTAATTGCATCATTTTCAAAAGCTAAAAGTGAACATTGCACTAAAAATGAATATACGGTCACAAAAATTTCTAAATCTATAGTTTAAATGTTAATTTACTCTTCTACCCTTATGTGTTTGTATTTTATTTTTGTGTGTGTGTTAAAAATGAATATAGGGTCACAGAAGTTTCTAAACCTATAGTTTAAATGTTAATTTACTCTTCTACCCTTATGTGTTTGTATTTTATTTTGTGTGTGTGTGTGTGTGTGTGTGTGGTTTCTCAAGCTTGTGTTGTGTCTTTTCGAGTTTACTGTGTTGCTCCGCGTGTTGGACTAGTGGCTTTGGCCCAATAAAATACGTTATGACTTGTATAGGCAACTTCATAGTCACAAAGAAAAGCTTTACCAATCACCAAGATATTGACGGAAATTAGATTAGGACCTTCTCTTAAAATTATATTGGAGTGCATTGTAAGGTTGAACTTTGTCATGATTGGAGAGTCCTTAAACACTCATTTAATGAAGCACTTTAAAGTATATCATGTCTCTATGAATATAGAAAATTAAATTGCAACATCCGTTCATAAACGAATTGTACTCCTATGTGATACCATTTTTTAAGGGTTAAAGTATATTTTTTCACTTAAATTTCTTTTTGAAAAGCATTGGGCAACATGTACTAAAGGGTGAGGCAATATCATCCCTAAACAATTTTTTTAAGAGCAAAATTGCCCTTCTGTTAGCGTACTCATCATTTTCTCCATCATCCACTAATATAAAATAGTTGTGGGGCTTATGTATAGTAACAGCAACACATTCTAACCCATTTTGACCATTTGATGGGGGCTAAGAGGATTGAAACTGGCATTGGCAGTGATAGAAACTAAGCCTAATTTTAGCAGTGAAATAATAAAAAATAAATTAAAATGCCTTGCTGTCATTGTACGTAGGCCCCACAACTATTTAGCATCATTAGATAACAAAGAAGGTGATGGGTTTTTAACAAAAGAGCTTTTTCTCGTGGAAAATATGTTTAGGAAAAAATGATCTTTAGTCCTTTATTTAAAACATTGTCCTTTGATAACTGCACAAGGTTACATGAAGTTGAAAATTATCATGCAGTATTGTTTGACTTCACAGTTGATTTTCATCTAAAAGATTTAAACGGATACAACTATCACAAAACAATGTTTGAACACGACATGATAAATTTGAGGATATAACACTCAAATGTATATTCAAGCTTCTCATATGTATACTACTTGAGGATAGAAAATATGGTTTGAAGAAGGGTGAGTATGAGGATTATGATTCTAGCAAAAGAGGCCACAGTTCGCCTAAGGGTTCTTGCAACAGTCACCTCTCAAAGTTGCTTTACCCTGGTTCAAAGGATTTTGGCTGAATTGATTCAACCTTTTGAAGATATCAATGTATTCAGAAATCATCCTTGCTTCATAGACATTCTGTCCCATGATTCTAAATAATGAAACAACCTCAGTATCAGGTTCGAAGTTGCGCATTATTTTCGTATCAATGAGAACATCTGCATCTTCCTGTGTGTTGATTAGGCATCCCCACATAGTAGCATAGTTGGAAATGTAAGTGGTAAGAGGAGAATGGATCTGTTCAAAAGCAATCATGTTATGAAACAAAGTTCTAGTCAACGGTTCTGCTATCAAAATCTGTGGGAGCTCAAGAAGATGCCCTGAAAACTTGATGTCTAATAAGCTCTTGCTCTTGCTAGCCTTGAACTTGACTCCAAATTCTTGCAACTGTTTTGCACCGTGCAAAAGAATGTCAACAGTCCAAAAATATGGTTCCATTTTTGGTTGTGCTCTTTGTAAGAACAAAAGCCTAAGCAAATATGTGAAATGCTTTATGCTCTCGCTATAAGGATGCTGAGTTAGCTTCTGGAGATTAAATGCTTAAGCATAGAACTCACAAGCGAGCACACAAAATGGAGGGAGGTTGCAATGGTCAAGGGGGAAGAAAGCTTTATTGAATAGCTCCTCAAATGACAAAAAATGGTAATTGATTCTCAAGTAAAACCAAATCATGAGTTATGGTAGCATATAATTCTGGTTGCGACAGCATAGCATTATACAGCAATAATCCTCCTGTAATGAACGACAAGTGGAAAAATTCGATGATGAAAGCAGCATCCCTTAATTTCAATTTCACAAGTTTGCTGTCACTAAGGTTTATGTTCTCTGAGTAAGAAGCACGCACTTTTGGCACTGAACATCTCACAGAACTAACCAAATCCTCCAAGCTTGTATTTGTTCTTTGTTTAAGTCTTTTCAAGAAGATTGGTTAGTGCTTTTCCATATTTTGGAGCCTCTCTTCACCGTAGTGAAAGGGACCAATACATATATTTTGGGGCGTAAGCGTTTGGTTTTATATCAAGCAACGTGTGAGGCACCCTTGACATACAACAATCTGGATCCAAAAGACCATCCCCGCTTTGTTGAATCATTGCTTCAATGTCAACCATCGCATCATCTTGTTCCATCTACAAAAGAGAGAACAAATAAATGATAAGCAGTGAAAGGCACAGCTTAACTAAAATTAAAGCTTTAAAGTGTGAGTCCTTTCACTTATTATATATCATTTATTAGACTCAACTTTATTCAATATGAGACTTCATCTACACATCAACTTTATGATACAAGCCCAAACTTGTAAGTTTGCAATCTTACAAAGTAATTAACTCTTTTTTATAACTAAAAAATAAATGAAACACTATATACAACAATCTGTTACCAAATGATCATCTCTGCTATATTGAATCATTACTTCAATGTCCACCATCACATCATATTGTTCCGTCTATCAAAGAAAGAGAAGAAATAAACATTAAATAGTGAAATCCATGCCTCAGCTTAACTAAAAGCTTTAGAGTTAAGGTTTATATCTCTTTTACTTTATTATATATTATTTATTTAGTTCAATTTTATGAACTTAGTTTTCATATTAACCAAGTTCACTTACACTTGAATATCTTAACAAAACAATAAACAAATACGTATACATACCAAATAAGTGGAATTGATAATACAAGCACGTACTTGAAAGTTGAAATCTTACAAAGTAATTAAATCTTCTTTATAACTAAAAACTAAATGAAAAGCTAAATACAACAATCTGTTACGAAATCTTTCCGCTATATTGAATCATTGATTCAAGGTCAACCATCACATCATCTTCTTCTATCTATCAAATTTGATTTAGTAAATAATAGGTAATTATATATGCAACAATATAAGAGGAATTAATAAGAGGGATGTGAATCCTCTCCATACTCTCTCTCAAGTTTCACAGTTTCCATGTCACTAAGGCGGATGTCCTTTGAATAAGAATCACGAGCTTGCTGCAACCAAATCACTTCAACTTTTCTGTGATTTACAGGCAAATATTGTAAAGAAGATTTCTTCGTGCCTTTCCATATCTCGTAGTCTATTATCAGCATAATGAACGGGGCCAATTGAAATAAAATTTGAGGAATAAGCGTTTACATATTGATCACGGATCATACAAGGCACCTTATAGCTAAATACAGCATCTAGGTAACAAGACACCCCTTTGGTTTCGCTGAATCATTGCTTCTATGTCCATGATCACATGATCTGCCTACTATATTTTGATTTAGAAGAGCAATCAGCAATTTTGCATAAGCAAAATAGGAGGAAAGAGGAACATAAGCTTGGGATGAGATCTAAACTGTACTGAGAAGAAACTAGAGAGAAACTATACACTTGATCATTCGATAGCACTGATGATTTCTTGTAATCTCTCACAAATCTTTTGGCTAAGTAAAAATGAAATGAAATGATAAAGAACCTATAATACCACAGGCATCAAACAATAGCAATCTTACTTGTTGGGGAGGTTGTTGATGAATTTTCCCCTGTTCTTCAGTAATATCCAACTTGGTAATGCCTTGCGACTCCATCGTGCATCCTTCTTGGAAAAGACTGAGAAAGCTTCTCTCGCGTTCAGCGATCTTCTTCACCGAAGCAGCTGGCAGATACTTGAGACTGGCAAATAAAAACAAGGGAGAATGAATCCCATCAAACTAGGCAATCTCTGTTAACTTTGATAATTGACTAAAAAATTATAGAAAAAATTCAAAAATTATAGAAAAGGACTATTTAAATTGAAATGCTGACAGTAGTGGAGGTGACTTCATGCAGTAATTTAATTGGATAGAATTTTAATTTAATTTGTTATATAAAAAGTGAGATATTTATTGGATAAATTTTGAGAACTGATGGTGAGGAGGGAGTATGGGTAAGTCAAGCTTATGTTTGTACACATGTGACAACCAGGTTTTTAAATTGAAATGCTGACAGTAGTGGAGGTGTGACTTCACTTCATGCAGATGGTGCAAGGTTGAAATAAAATAAGATAAAGAGCACAGCTAGCGTGGCTTTTCTAGATTCTAATATTATCAAGGGAAAACATATTAATATCAGTACCATAAGTGTGATGCAATTAAAAAATATATCGAAAATTATTGAGACTGAATTGAAAATAATTTTGTAAGACAAATGACTAAAATGTCTTTAATAGAAATAAAGAGAAAATGTAAATTAGTGCTTAACATGACTTATTAAATTGTATGTAACATTGACTTGTTAAATCTCTCACAATTCTTATCAAGCTATTTTTTTCAACATAATGGATTTTACAAGCTAAGCTATAAGTTAATAACTTATAACAAGTTGTAATAGATTTAATACGAGTTAAATAATTGACAAACTAATTAAGTTTTTTCTCACTAAATCTTAATTTTAAATAAGTATTTGGAGAATGCAGCGAAATCTCATATTTTTAAAATATTTTTTTATTATAAAATCTCTTTAGGAGTTCTTAGAAGATATTTTTTCTTATATAAACTTATACTCCATCTGTTCAAAAATATAAAATATTTTTAATCAAATCTCATATCTAATAAATAGTTATTTATCTTTAAACTAATCCTATTTTTTATATTTATCCTTATTTAATAGGGTATTTTATCCTAAAATAAATATAAAGTTATTTATTTAATAGGGACATTCTTAAAAAAAATAATTATATTTTAAAAGATTACAAATAATTTATATGTTTTAACATCCAACTATTTAAAAAATATTTTATATTTTTTAATGGTAGGAGTAATAGTTATCATAGGAAAATATTTAAATAAAAAAATGGATGGTGCCATCGCATTAAAGTATTAAATTGGTTGCGCGTGCACCCACCAAATGTTAAAGGGAAGGGTGCGTTCAAACAATATTTTTAGAACCGGACCGGACATTGAACTGAAAAAGTTAACGGTTCACGGTTCGCATGGTTCAACCGGTTGGACCAATGGTCCAACCGGTGACGTAATAATTAAATTAAAAAAATTATATATGTATATAATAATTTAAATATAAGAAATACATATGAAATTGCTATTTAACTTAAAAAAATCAAATATGTTAAGTTTATCATGACTTAACAAGCCATATGATACAATAAAATATCAAATGATTAAAAAATTAGTCATTTTTTTAAAAAAAATTTGATAAAAAATAAAAAAGTTTTTTTTGAACAGTTCGGTTTTTGAAAACCGGATCCGATTCGTGGCTTGATTCCGGTTCACGATCCGACTGCCGGTTCGAAATAGCTTAAACTGGCTCAACTCTTAAAACAGTTTTTTTCCTTTGAACTAGACCAAAAACCGGACCAGTCGATGGTCCAACCAGTTCGACAGGCCGGTCCAGTCCGGTTTTCAAAATAGTGGTTCAAAGGCATTTATCTAAAGGGGAAAAAATAAACATTAGATGTGGAACAGTTTGTACCTAATCTATTATACTATGTTTGGAAGGAAAAAAAAGTTAGGGAGAAAGAAAAGTTGGAGGGAAAAGTAAGAAAAAAATAATATTTTTTTCTACTTGATCATGGAGAGAAAAGTGAAGAGGCGAGAAAAGTAAAAAGAAAATAACATATGAGAGTTATATATTTTTATTTTTAACTTTTCTCTTTAAATATAAAAAAATTTTGAAGAGAAAATTTTATTTTTAAATTTACCCACTATTTTTTTTTATTTTCACCTCTTGCTTTTATCTAATTTTATCATGATATTTATAATATAATTGCATTTTGATCATAAATTTTTATTAAACAAGCAGTATATTTAATTTTTAGACTAATTAGATAAATGTTAATTTTAAATTTTTAAGTTAATTTTTTATTAAATATCTTATATTTGGTTGTACTTTCAAATATTAAGATTATTATATATTTAATAATTTAATAAATAAAATTTTGAATTAGATAAAATAATTTTTTGTCCATATTGGATAACATAATTTTTAATTATATTTTTGTTTAGTCACTAATATATGATAAAAATTATTATATATAATATGTTAAAATATTAAATTTTATAGTATAAATATTTTTATAAATAAAAAATTTATTATTATTAATATAATTAATAATTTTTTTCTTTTCTTTGTTTTCTCTCACTTAACCAAGCACATGAGAAAAAATTGCATCTCTTCATTTTTTTTTCTCTTTATTTTCTCTCCTCCCTATCTTATTCTGTGAGTGAAGCACATCATTAAGGTTATATCTAAAAGATAAAATAATTAATGTAAAATTAAAATTTACAAAAATTGATATCCTTCACATGAATAGTGTAATTGATGTTTTAAATAAATAAAAATTATAAAAAATTATACATGATGCTCCCTCCGTCCCAAATTATAGAATACTTTTAAAGGAGTCTTTTCATCTCAAAATATAAGACACTTTAAGTAAATTAAGATTTTATTAAATGTACCAATTTCAATATTATCCGTTCTCTCTCTATAATTAACTTCTGTTCTTTTTTTTCAATATATTGAATGATGGGTATTTTTAAAAGTTTATATTTTTATTTTAAAAAGATAAGATTGTTAAATGTATTTAATAAAATTTATTGGTACGTAAAATTTTGTCTAAAAGTGTTTTATAATTTGAAATAGAGAAAATATATTATAAGGATTTGAAATTTTGAATCATTCATCCGTTAGCTTATATATATAAACACACATATATAAAAATTCATCTTACATTAAGACATCAAAATAGAAAGTCTAAAAGGTGAAAAAAAATTAAAAAAATCTAATTAATAATATTAATATTTTTTAAAAAAATATTGTAAATATCAAATTCAAGAATTGACTAAAATATACAAAATTTTCTTGAAGGCATTTTGTACAAAACCCCCTTACATTTAAAAGGTTAAAATTAACCTTCTCAATTTTTTTTATCGCGCCTACTGACTATTTTTTAATTATCATATTAATAGAAGTTGTGCCATTATGTTCAAAAATAAAAAAACATTAAACAATTTATGGGCATTGTATGTACATTAAAAATTGCATTTAAAAAAGGAGAATGACATATAGATTCTCAGGAGATTAATTAATTTAAATTAAGTTTTAACTAATTTTAAAATGCTGAACTTTAAGAATTTGTAAGTTCAGCTCTTAAATTTATAATTTTATTATAATAATTTTGTAACTTTTATTTTAAATTTTAATAGAAAAACTATATTTTTATTCTTTAAATATATTAAAATTTAAAAAATAAGTTATAAATTTATTACAATAAAATTATGAAATTAAAATAAAATTTATAAATTTTTAGAGTTTAGTATTTTTTATGAATGTTACGTCAACTATCACGTGGCTAGTAATTGGAGAAGCTAATAATTATACTATCTACATGGCTTGGCAAGCCCACCACATTATTAATTGATATGGATCTTAAGTGATCTTGTCTAGTTTCATTTCTCTGTTACTCATAGATATTATTAATTTTATTAAAAATAATCTCATACGAGATAGAGATTCGAATCTTAATTGCCGAAGCACGCTGTGAGTGATTCCATGGTTCTCTCGTCTCACTTTTTATTTATATATCCGTTTCTTTGAAAAATCAAAAGAGGAAAAACTAGACCCTGACATCTGCTGTCTTCTTGGTGAAAAGATTTTGACAGGTTCAAAAAATATTGTCGGTTTTCTTGTTTTTCTGCTTTTATCATGTGCCATGTCTCATCATCGAGTGTCCTCATCTTTTTTATTCGTTCACTTTTCATTTCTTGTGCGACTTTGCGTTCATATACCTGCCCTTTGAACAATGTCGCTTTCTTTTCATTTTATTACTTTTTATTATTAAAAAGCAATTATATTTGAGAGGTGATCAAACGCTAAATATATGAATCTCTCTCCTATGAGAGATTTGAACTTTATTTCACCACAAGAGAGACTAATTATATTATTATTATTATTATTTCATATCATTCACTTTAAGATGCTTTGGATCTTAAAATTTTTTTGCTAATTTATTTTAATTCTTTCATGTTTCCTAAGTAGGGCTGATTAAAAACTGGAGGGCTGTAGTCGAATTCTGTTGCTTTGATAATATACGTGGCTTCTTGTTTCATTTTCTGCTTAAAATTGCATTGGTTGTAACTTGTAATTAAGCCTAGAAGATGCTGTATCTTAAGTGTGTATAATATTGGCTAAGTTTGCCAAATAACTAATAGTTTTGTATGATATGGAGGACCATTCGGTGCATTTAATCTTAAGTCTAAACTTTAATGCTTAATTAGGTGATTAATTATACTAATTACATTTTTTAAGGTCTCTCACTATTACATGACCTTTTTTGGTTCTCCCTATTTTAGTTGTTTGATTTGGTAGTGCAAACTGTCAAATTATTTTTCTAAATATTCTAAAAATAAAAATGCGTCATTGGCTTTGTTTATACTCCTTTTATTTTAAAATAAGTTAAATTATACATAACTTTCCTAAATTTTAAACCACGTACAAATAACTCCTTTAATGTTTAAATCTTAATAATAAACTTCATTGAGCTTTCAGATTTATGTAAATAACTACTAACCATTAATTATATATCCTCTTAAACTTTATTTTTTGTGTGCATTTAAGCCTCAAACTTTAATTGATATATGGATAACCCTCTAAACTTTAAGTTATGTATAGATAATTAATGTATACAATTAACCATATAGAGTTATTTGCATAAATATAAGAATTAAGAGGGTTCATTATAAAGTTTTAAAAGTTAAGGAGATTATGTGTATGTGATTCAAAATTCAGAAGAGTAATGTATAATTTAATCTTTAAAATATATGAGAAAATGTCTCTTCATTTTTATTTGTAAGAAAATTTATAAATTTCAAGTAGTATTTATCACATTTTTCTTAAATA